TTGCTGCCCCCTCTGAAGTTTTCAGGATCCATTTGAAACTACCATCTTCCCTCCCCCAAACAATTTCCCACTCCCACTCTTCCCACACCCCACATCTGGCAAATACACCAAATTTGATACACCAAGAAAGAATAAATCTCACCTTATGGGATGAAAAACTTTCACTGAACCTTTGGAAGAAATGGAGTTGACCATAGCTAGCAACTGGTGGTATTTTAAAGGCAAACAGATAGGGTTGCCTCAAACTAATAACCCTGCATTCTGAGATGAAGGTTGAAGGTGGCTATTAACAAAGAGAATAAAAAGAGATAGGTCATCTCCATTTCGACTTATCATTTTTAACTATTCCTATTGCGTAGAAATTGAATAGGTATGGTCATCCTGTACTTTGTATCCCAATGCAGTCTTTCGAGATTATCTATTTTATTGACTTCTTTCTCCAAGGCGTTTGAACTCATTTTTACCACAAGAGGGCAGCCATCTCTAAAAAACAACCAAAGAGACTGGATCTTAAGTCAGAAAGAGAGCCAAAATTTAGGAAGTTGTGCTTGCGAAAGGCGTTCATTCAGCAGTCCCTCAGAAATCGCACAATCACCCATAGAGCGATCCTGTGATGAGCAATACTGAAATGGAATAGTGTCCAGAAATGCCAGGTTTCCCTCAGACTCGTGACTATCGAAGATTATTTCATAAACTAACAAGGTTCCCATTTCGCAAGTTATGAAGGCCTAAAGCTGGGAGACATCCTTGATGTCATCACCAGAGATTTATTTTTCATCTTTACTTGAAGAACTTCCAACAGCTATCAACTTTCTCCTTCTCTTTAAAAGCTACGTACTGCTTTAGGTCTCATAAGTTTTGTTTTGTTTTTTAGATCTCACTGATGACAGAAACAATTGTTAACTTCTCAATTAAACTTTAGGAAAGGAAATAGTTTCGAGAGCACAATAAACACTTTAAACTTGTGTCTATGAGTAGAATATGTTCTATTGCCAAGTTGTTCGGTGGCCAGTGATTCAGAATAACAGTCAACTTTCATAGGCCTTTATTTTCAGGGGGAAAGAAGTTCTTGAATATTTTGCTGAACCCCAGCTCCCCATTTATTTTCCTAGTAGGTAGGCTTCCTCTGAAATACCTTATTTGACCTTTATACTTTCAGAAACAGCCAGTGCCTAATTCCCCTCTGTGGGTTGCTAATCCGATTTATGTGAGCAGAACCTGGAATTGTTTTAGCTTCCCCACTGAAAAAATAATACACATGGGTAGTAGATTGTTATGAGCTCCCGAATCAGATTTTTCCCTTTCTGCTTCGCAGACTTCAAGGTGCTGTGCAGGCAAGCTTGGTGTTGCCATCTGGACTTTTTCAAAATTTTTTCGCCCTTGGCTTCTGGGATCATTTGGGTGACTCCATTGCACTTTGTGTGGAGGACCCTGGAATTCCGAGAGGGAGGGGAAGCCTGGAAACTCAGAGTGCAGTGGACTTGGGGAATATTTCATCGGAGGAGCTAGACCATATGGCACAGTCTGCTGCTGGGGCCTGGTGGAAGGGGTTGGAACAGAAGGTTCTAAGGTCTCAAACCAGAATTGTCTTGTAGGCTTGGCTCACACTGTGCATTATTTTACCTTCCTCTGAACTACTAATCACCTGCCTCAGAGCTGGGCGAGATAAATATCACAAGGCATGAAGTGATTGCTACCATAAAAAGAAATAAAATCCCTCTCATCCTCTCTTCACACTGACACACACACACACACACACAGTCCATTGCACGTGTCATATATAGCAGGATGACATCCATTTCACATATACAGGCATAGTTATAAACATATGTGCTTTCATTAGCATATATTTACATGTATAGGTATATTTATAGAGACATACACACGTTTATATGTACATTACATTTATCCGAATAAAATATGCACATTTACATAAATATAAATGTACACATGTATTTACATATATACAAACATATATCTGTGTGTTAAAGTTTAAATAACACCCAGTTTTCAAACTCTAGTTTTCTTTTACAGAATTGTCTACCCCACGCCTATGCCAAGATGCCTTGTAACTTGGTTGAGTTTTGTTTTGTTTTGTTTTGAATGGTCTATTACCGAAAAACTTCAAACTGAAAGTTAAATAACGGGCCAGTTAGGGAAATAAGGGCTTAACCCCCGCATCTGTCCCGGATGGCGCCCCCGGAGCGAGAGCCAGGGTCAGGCGCCCCAGGAGATCTCCGGGGTGAGGACAGGGGCTGG